GTGCGACGAGACATAGGAATATTAATAACTTTTATTTCTTGAAAAGCAGATTGGGATAAGTTTTTTTTTTTTTCATCCCCAATTGAATCAAGGCCAGTTCTCGGAAGAGAACCTCTCATTTCCTGTCGTAGGCCAGAAGAACGTTGTTTAACAAAAAGTGCAAATGACCCCAACAGTATTCCATGAAGGACACCTACACGCTTTTCGTAGGCTGGCACGTGACGGTTTTGTTTCGCGCATGTCGGGGTAACAATTCTTCACTTAGCTGCTTGCCCCCCGGACGAGGTAGACGTCACCAGAATCTGTCTTAGCCGTTTATAGTTGGAAGAAATAGATGTCACGAAAACCAAATTTCGCTGTTTGCTGCCCGAAGATTTAAGAACATCATCATCCAAGTCGGCTACACTTTTATAATTCACATGTGTATACTAGAACATTGATAATCCCTCTCTTTTCTGTTCAGAAAAAAGAAACAAAAAAATAGTGTATGAATATCTTTTTTCGTTACACTATATTATTGATGAAAATCTTGATCGACGTTGATCATCATCTACTGTAAGTGTTGCATGTTTTTATATATTTTATTGTCTGCTTGCTCTATATTTCGATGATATTAGTCGCAGTAATATTTGTCTGATTGATTACTCATCTTCCCATCACTTGTGCTATTAAGCTTCGTTTTTTTCTTATCTTATTTTTGCACCTTGTATATTTGTAAATAAACTATTTCTATTATAAATTCTCGTATTGTCTCCTATCGTTCTGTGTCTATGCATTGTATATTTCTTGCTGTGTTTACCGGTGTCTGGATTCGGAGAATTCCCCTCCCACTGTTCTTTTTCTTTATTTTTACATTGAACCCTGGGATCTCTTATTTATTTATTTATTTTTATTTTCTCGTTGCGTCCCGTCTATCGTAGTCCTAATGAATCCCCGGGTTGAACGTGAAAGACAAGGTGATTTGGTTTAGTTTTTTATACAATTTTTCTTTTGAGATTATAACATTTTTTCTTTTTCGGAAGATAAATTATATAAAACCTTCCAATTGTTCTTTCTTTCCAAGCACTTTCGGCTATACATTTAGTCATCTTCAAGGATGAAATTTATTAACTGTTAACAAGAAATAGATTGTTGTATATCTGCATTTATATAATGTTTTCATTTTTCAAAACACTCTCTAGATATTGTGTCCATATTCATAGTTAATATTATTAAGTGTTGGTTTCTTTTGTTTTTATTAATAAGGCTTCCATAAATTTTAGCCTTTTTTACATGCAGATAATGCTATTAAAGTGGTTTTGTCAACAAGTATGTTACGAATAGCGTCCGGTAGGACTCCATGTATATTTAAATCAGACCTATTTGAGCTACGGTCAGAAAGGTGTAGACTGAATTTTCGTGACAAGCATGTTGGAGTATGGCCCATATAATTTTTTTACGAATTTTGATTTTTGACTTATCAAGAATAAAATTCTTTAATGGACATTTAAATTCGTCATCACTGAAACGTGAATGAAAGAAGGATTGCTGCCTATACACCCACACCACACGCACACACACACACACACACACACACACACACATATATATATATATATATATATATATATATATATATATATATATATATATATATAAAAAAAAATCGATTCTCCCCGTCGAGTTCGACGTATGAGGGTCAAGCAGATCAGTTTCCAGGAAACTGACAACCCGACAACGGCACATGAAATTTGATTATAGTGGTGAAGGTTTTGTGCAGGACCATCCACACTTTTTGAAGGGCTGAATACAGAGACCTGGTGCACTACGTGCCACAAGGTCCCCTAACCCCCCCTCAGGTTTTGAATTCAGAGCTGTCCTTCTCCCAGACCAGTTGCCATCCAAGGCTATAGAACCCAGTCTGTCCTGCTATTTAACCCATAGCTGGAGGGAGAAGAATAGGATTCACAGCTTTCCCAAGGGTATTAGCACGTAAGTGAATATAATGGACTCAACCTGGATTCGAACTCGGCTCCTCTCTCTCTCTCTCTCTCTATATATATATATATATATATATATATATATATATATAGAGGAGGCACAGTGAGGTACAGTGCTTTTATATATATATATATATATATATATATATATATATATATATATATATATAAAGTATTTCATCCCAAGCAAGGTGGGGGTACCACTAGCACGCAAGGGGTTACAGAGAGTGAGAGCAAGAGTAAAGAGGTGTGTTTGAGGAAAGGGTAGAGAGAAGGACGTGAATCCGGATCAAGGTATCAGAGATGTCGATTGACATTATATTTCAATATTTGAAGATAATATTTATCAGGGAAGCAAGGAAGAGGAAGGGAGATCCACTGTCGGTTAGTGCGTGAGAAGAACCTGTTGAGGTAGAAGAGGCGGTTATATTTAACTGTTTCGACAGTGAAAGGGTGGCATCGAGATGCCAACCTAGCAGCGCGCTTAAATTCATGCCGTTAGGGCACCTGTGAACGTAGATCGACAGAGCAGTTGCTATGAAAATATTTATAGATAAGACAGAGGGAAGCCACAACACGTCTGTGAGAAAGTGATTGTAGATGGTGTGGCAAATCTAGAACTGTCACATTGCGTATCCGTCTTTGGATTTTGACGAGAACCTACAGATAACCAGCGGAGAGCACCAGACTATATATGGCAACAGTCTTCAATGTATGGACAAATGGAAGATTTATAGAATGGACGAGAAAAACTTTCTGGTGCGACACAGAGAACCAACTTTCCTTACCGTAGATGAAGCTATTGATTCAATGTAGTTTTTCCACTTCCTTTCAGTGGGCAAACGTGAGACCAAGAAGGCTCAGAGTGACACTCTCGTTGTGTTGAGCCATATATATATATATATATATATATATATATATATATATATATATATATATATATATATATATATATGTATATATATATACTCAGTGACGCTATCGAATATTATCGAAATGTAAATCTACGTTATATTTTTTCCCAAGGGCACCTTCCCTTAAAGAATTACTACTTTCCAAAACCTACATACCTAACAGCACATATGTTGAAAAACGGTAAAATCTATCACCTCAGCCTTTGAAGATGCACGTCACAAACCTGTATCACATACCATAACAAACACAATCCAAACAATAAAAAAAAATTATTGCATATTATTTACTCACTGTACTTTGCAACAGACTTTGATTTAGGACAGTTTGTGCACGCCACATGCTTTGACAGACCTTTCAACAACCTGATGAATATTCATGAACGTTCTCAAACTTATAAGCCTTGATAAACCAATTACATCCTCGCAGTTATTTTTATAAACACATGCAGCATAATAAATCCTACGTTGCCTTGATAAAGTCCCACAGAGATCGAAACGCATCGCATAGTACAGTTTTTACTCTTCTTCTTGTATGGATTGGAATCTGACAGATAAAGAACAAATGGGAAACATTCATGAATTTAACATGTGACCTAAGATCTTTCTGCGTCCAACCACAACTGGTGCAACATAAATTCTTTCACTCTCACGCCAAACCTAACCTATAGGCACTACAAATAATCTGTGTAAATAAATACACAAGTAGTTTCATACGTGTCTGTAGCAAATCTGAACGTTCGAATTCCAAACGATAAAAACAAAAAATACAAAGAAAATACAAAGAAAATATGTACATATCTACATTAATTCAAAAGAATTAAAAGTATCAAGAATAGTCTTAAGTTGAGTTAAAGCCATTAGGTAGTTGGCTCACAGAATAAAAAAGTTGGGTTGAGAAAAGTCTTTTATCATAGGCGAAGTTTCAGGCTTCTGTTGTAGCTGATTCATTTGATGTCGCCGTCATATGTTTTTTTCAACACGTTGTTTGAAGAAGGAAGCTGTGTAGTCGCGTCTTGAATTCCGCCGAGAAAGTCCCGTAACTGCTAGTTGAAAGTCAAAATCTGTGGCGTTTTTAAGACATTTTTCCCGATACCAAACTCAAGAAAATAAATTTTAGTCTTCTCTGATTGGTCAAATATTACACATAGTGATTTAAATTTCTATCCAATAGACACTTTGATTTACGATGGTGTATGTTGTATTGATGAATCTTTTTGGCATGTTTTTAATATTGTCTGTTATTTGGTAGAAAATAAAGTTTGGGTCTATTTTAATATGGTAAGTACGCTGTATGAAATTTGTAGGGTTTATTTCATATATATCGATGAAAAATCTCTAGTCTCTTAGAAAGTTGTTCGAAGGTGCCATCAGGGATGTTAACTGCTATTTCAAAAGGAAGATATAACGCCTGTGTTTGCTAATTATGAATTTTATGAACATGGTAAATATAAACGCTTGACTATGTGTCTGCAAGCATTGAGGCTTTCAATAATTATTTACATATTTGAAAAAATGCACCCACTTTCTTTTGATGTAGTTCTGAATTGTATTTTTATTTGAAGAAAGAGATATTATAACGAAAAAATTAGAACGAGAAAGTAGTATTAAGTTGGTGCATAATTATCAGGCGTTTTTGTAGGCGACTTATTTGTTATAAAAATTGCTGATTTATTTACGTTTTTTTAAATAAAATAAAATTTTTCAGGTTATAAAAATGCTTGTCGATAATCATACGCTCTGGAATAATCATTTAAAAATGTTATTGTTCAATTATTATGTTGTTTTTTTTTCATAATAAATATTGTTTTAACACGCCTGATAATTATGCACCAACCCAATAACTTAAAGACAAAAAGAAAGGAATAAAAAATGAGTATAGAATTGTGTGAGCCTTGAGAGACATAATATATAAAATATTGCGAAAGAAAACCGAAAGAAAAAAATAATTGTTTCTAAACAATTAAACTAAAAGAAACAAAGAAACAAATCAAAGGACATTGACACGGTGAAAAAGAAAGAAGAAAAATCTAAATGAGGTAAAGACAAAAAAGAATGAATAAGCAAGTTGCGAAAGAAAATTTGAGAAAATATTTGAGAAACATAATGTTTAAGAGAATGGGATTGAAAGAAAAGCAGAAACATATTGAAGGAGGAAAAGAAATACAAGAAAGAAGATTTTGAAAAAAGAAGGAAAGAATGAAGAACTAAAAAGGAAAAAAAAAGAAATGATAATGTAAAGAAATAAAAAAAAATGTTGAAAAGAAAAAAGAAAGAAAGAAAGAAAGAAAGAAAGAAAAGATGTTGAAAAGAAAAGAAAGAAAGAAAGAATGAAAGAAAAGACAAAAAGAATGAAAAAAAGAAAGAAAGAAAAGATTGAATGGGATTGAAAGAAAAGCAGAAACAATAGATATAAGCTAAGATATGCAATTCGAAAGAAACAAAGACATATCAAAAGAGGGTGAAACACAAGAGAAAATTTGAAAAAAAAGAAGGAAAAGAAAAGGAAATAATAGTACGTAGGAAATAAAATAAATGTTGAAAGAAAGAAAGAAAGAAATAAAATAAATAAAACAAAGAACACAAAAAAGATTAAAAACATCAAATAAGATTGAAAGCAAGAAAGAAAGAAAGAAAGAAAGAAAGAAAGAAAGAAAGAAAGAAAGAAAGAAAGAAATACCTAAGAAGGAGAAGAAAAAGGATTACGAGAGGAAATAATAGAAAAATTTAAATAAAAAATAAAATTTAGAAAGAAAGAAAGAAAACTCGTGACAATGGATGAAATAAAAAGGAAAGGAATAGAAATAATTAAAGAAAAAAATATTCTGTTCCTGTGAATGGTATTTAGATTCCCTCTGTCTTAACCCCAATACTTAATTCTTCAACGTTAGAAGAAATGGTTTCTATTCAATTATTTAACTTATTCGTTCTCAGACATTCGTGTTTTAAGATAACTATAGTAATGGCATGACATCACATCACATTATTATCTTTATTAAATATAAAGTTGGACTAGTGCCGTTTCCCCTCCATAAATTAGTAACACTGAATAGTAGAAATTTATGGATCATAATGGAATGAACTTGTGTTCTTAATCGTGTTTTGGAAAATCATATACAGCTCTAAAAATGTCGCTACCCTTATTCTACCCGGTAGTTATTGTTCTGCCAGTATGTACGAAAGCTTCTTGAGGAACTCAGTATTTCTTTCTGCATTTCTTGCGTCCAATATATCATATGAGAGTTAAATTATCCAAGCCCAATTTAAAATGTTTCTTTTTAATTCTAAATGAAAGTAGCATTTTGTTCTCATTTATATTAAAATGTCAATGTTGCACAAACGTTCGGTCCCAAATATTCTCAGTATACGTTTATAGTACCATATAGTTGTTGCTTCCTTTTCGTCTGGGAGGAAAATGTTAAGCATTTATGGCTATATAAGTACATTTATATAACAGTACTTTATTGATCTTTTCTTTGTCTCTAACGAAATTTTCCTCTTTCTTAATATATTGTTTAGCTTTTGGAAGACATCTGTCGCTATTCCAGCGCGTCTGAAGATTTCTGTTTCATCTTTTGCATCTTTTCGTAAAATACCTCCTCAAAGATTTGTATTTGCTCGATTTTGACGTCTCAGATTCCTAGCTAGTATGCTGGGTTATTTTTTTGGCTAGCGTCCTGTGTGTGACGTTAAGCTACATCCGGCAGCTAAACCTCTGATTGGGAGGTTTTGAGGAGCGTGGAACCACCTCTAAATTGCTGATGTCCTCAGGTCCATCCTGACCCGGGATGGTAGAACCTTCTAGTGTCACAACTATAGGCAAATAGTTAACCCCCAAATTGGGGTCAAAACTCTACAAAATTATAAAAAAAATCATTTTTATAGTAGAAATAACAGTAAGATATTTTCATGGTAAAAAAAAAAAGTTGCGAGCATTTTGTGTAAAAAATAAAAATTAAAAGCAATACATGTTTGTAAAAAAATATCCAGCTATACCTTTTTGTAAAAGAAATTAGTAACGCTAAAAAAAATTAAATTTCGACATGAAATGACTCATAAGGAGTTGATATACAGCAGAATAAACAAACAGACAAACAAATCTTCCTTCCTAACTGCCATGGGGTTTGCCTTCTTATATTTGTTGATTAATTCTTTCTTCTCACTTTTCTTTACTGACTAGAAGTATCTATACAATATGACAAGCTCTTGGCTTCAACACAATTCCTCCAAAGTCCATCGACTAATGATTTTTAATACATTGACAACATCCACATTTATCGGAGGCTGATGAAGATATTGTCGTCGGTAAAATTCGATCCTCAAAACTATTCTTTTTTTCGTTGGCATATTCCCGAACTTCAACACTAAATGCCAATAGAAAGACAGTGATTCACCTTAATCATAACTCATAATAACGATATTTTTATGCCATCCATAATATTTTTGGTTAGTATTCACTAAGCAGATACGCCAAACCATTTACACATTCCAGTCATTACGTACATATGCAATGTACGTAATGACAGTTGCAACGGCTGGGAAAAGGAAGCAGCAAACCACATGAATTTGAGCTCGGGTTACATTTGAGCTCGGCAAACGTAGCGGAAGGATTATCCTAGCAAAAAGTGGAATCGGCTAACGGACTTCAAGTTCTAAACGAGTCAGTTAAGTTAATTTCCAAACGGACACCATTGGAAAAATAAGTATTCATTTATTTCACTTTTCCCACAAAATAGTAACGAAAACTGAGATTTTTCATCCTTAGGTAGCAGCCAAAATGGATGAAAATTTATAGTTAATGAATTAGAATTCAATTAAAAATTGTATCCGTAGCAATTCCCTGATATTATAGAAAAAAAAAGTGTTGTACTCTCTATCTCTCTCTCGCCTTCTCCCAGTCGGGGATCGTTAAATGACTTGGGTCCAGTGATGAAAGATATCAACATAATTTTTTTTTAAATTATCTATCTTTATTAAAGATGACATGTATTAACTATGCAGTGGGTGTCGGTCCCCTCAGTGGAGAGCCGTTTTAACAAGAAAGAGAACACATCTACATCGCTTGACGGTCAAGATTCCCTGAAAAAAATTTCTCTATCATTTCCACTCTAAGCCAATCAAAATCGACTTCCTTATTATGTCTTATATCTGACCCCGACGGTCAACTTCCGGAAGTCTGACATTTTCTCTAAAAGTAATAGTTTGCTAATCTAGTATTTAGTAAAAGCCATGATCTCGTACGTCTGTAAGAGATATGTCATTTAAAACTATGTCCAGAAGTCTTCCACTTCTTTAGTTTTTAGTCATTTCCTCGATTAACAAAGTAAATAAATCTGTCGGTAGCGAAAGATACTGATATCGTATCTTTTTAATAAACGTTCACGCAGTGCAAGAACAAAGGACACTCAGAGTAAAGGTTACTGAATGACGTTGTTGCCTGAATGAATGAACTAAGTGCAGATTATAAGGATATGTAGGATGGATTCAATTGCAATTTCAATAGTTTTCTCCTGTTTTCGTAAATCATGTTCTTCGTCCCTTAATAGTGTTTTGCTTATAATCCTTCACATCCATTAACCCCTCGCATATGTAGAGTTGTTGCTTTGCTTTGAGTGAAATGATAAAAAACAACATAACCGTGTATATCAATGAGATGAGGTATTATGATTACGTACAATATTTATATTATTCGGAATGTTATTATCATCTTTATTACCCTATTCACAACGTTTCGGACGTTGTACACTCCAGACTTCTTCAGGTGATTGGAATGTCGAACCGAACCCGTTATTTTTTTCCCCTGAGACATTAGGTTTACAAGTCCCAGAAATTCATACACAAATCTCCTCAAGGGCCCATAGTCCATTGGTATAGCTAGTGACTAGACCCAAAGTGTTGTGAGTTCAATACCAGGCTCCAAATATATAGAGAGTTGAGTTAAAGGGAAACAACTGACACGTGAATCTAGAACAATCTATCTCGGTGGACGAAATAAAAGGTTTGGTCTGAAATTCCATTCAACAGAAGAAGGCAGGAGAGTACAAAGGCCGAAATGTTGGGGATATGGCAATGATGATGAGGATAACAGTCCAAATAATACAAATACTGTAATACATAATAATATTAACATTTACATCATATGTATATATATCATATATATATATATATATATATATATATATAGAGAGAGAGAGAGAGAGAGATATATATATATATATATATATATATATATATATATATATATATATATATATATATGCGTGTATATGTGTGTGTATGTATGTGTGCGTATGCATAAATATATATGCATGGATGGAAAATACATAAATTACATTGATAAAGGCGTTTCCTTAATTTCTTACTGTTCTTCTGAAGATGTTCATACTGTGCAAAACGTTGATCTAGTTTTAACATATTTTGTTCTGATATTTTTGTCAGTCATTTTATCTGATTACAAACACACACACAATCATATAAATATATATATATATATATATATATATATATATATATATATATATATATATATATATATATATATATATATAAAATTAATAAAAACAAAAGGAAATCTTAGTCGACGCCTTTCGTACTCTAAAATTAACAAGTTAAATAAAAGCATTTATTTTGCAGCAACTATTTATAAATAAAAGTAAAAAAATTGTTACTTTTTCAAATTTGTTTTTTAAAAGAAGGCTAAAAAATATTCATCAGGCTAATGGTAATGTATAGATACATTTCAGGGGATAGTAAGTCAAATAATTTAATATCTCAACTTTCAATTTTGCGGAAATGACATCCACATCGACATCAACATCGACATAACTCTGTAGGGTGTAAGCAATTGCTGTGAAACTCATAGTTGCGCTAAGGTAAGTCAATTTTAACATTGTTGTTGCTATTAACTCTCATGACATTGGCCGCTATAATCACACAGAGTATCGCTATATTCAATAAATACTTTCAACCATTTCTTTTTTACTCGATTGGAAGTAAAGTCGAAAGAAAAGTATAAGTTTCCCAGCATGGAGAGATTTCTTCCCTTGGCGCGAGGTTAAAACTCTCTTAATAAACTTTCCCTTTCTGTCTTATAAAATATGCTTAAAAAATTGACTAAAAACTGCCCATTCCAACCCTCGCTCGACCGGATTACCCATTGCACGATCCCACATAACCTCTCAAATTTATAGTAACAACCATTCGGGTAATGATCACATTGGAATATTTTGCCAAAGGAAGGAGCAAGAATTAAACTTGTTTAATTCATTTTTTTCTTGCGAATAAAAATCCGCCAGCTGAATCGAAGAATTGCAAAGAATTGCTATCTTAAGTTCCAATCTCAATATCATGGCTCCAGTATCGCAGTTGGTAGTGTAAGTAGATGAGATTTTATATACAACGCATTTTCACTGGTTCTAACGATTGCTGCGTGAATATAGTGGGGGTCACTAGTGTTAAGCCATAAGTTAGAATCTGCCGGTGCTGGTCTTCGAAGTCATTCTTCCGGATTGCACTTTCCCTGGTTTCAGAAATTGAGGGCATTGTGCCCATAAAAAAAAAAATAATAATAATCAGCGGGGTGTATTTGGGTGAGTACTTCAGATCAGTTCTTTTTTCTCGTTGTCTCTCTTTTCGCATTTCTCAGTCATCACTGATCCAAGCATTTAAAATGTTTCCTACTTTATCATCAGCTTCAAGTATATTAATATGTCACTGCTCATTCATAAACACCCGCAGAGAAACATTCACACAGACACAGAGAATCAAACGCATTTGCAAAAATAGATATACACTCAAACGTAAATTTCATCTCATGCATATGCATATATATATATATATATATATATATATATATATATATATATATATATATATATATATATGTAAGAAAATTGATGGAGCTTTTTTTTTTACTAATGCGACAGGTTTTATTACTTAAACCTATACTCGTATTTGAGTAGACGCTCCGTTTATTTATTCAGAAGAATATTTATTTATATTTGTCTATGGACTTGCTTATTCGAGAAATCTCATTAGAGAAAAAATATCCACGATGTCCTGAAGGGACGCTCTGCAGTGAAGTGTGTACACACACACACACACACACACACACACACACACACACACACACACATATATATATATATATATATATATATATATATATATATATATATATGTGTGTGTGTGTGTTCATTTTTGTTTTTTGTTTTGAAAAAGTCTACATTGGATGAAATGAGTCTGCTACTACTACACAGTTTTTCTACTGTATTTTCCTTTACACACACACAAACATATATATATATATATATATATATATATATATATATATATATATATATATATATATATATAAGGAAAAGATACATTAAAAAAACTGTGTAATAGTAGCCGACGCGTTTCGTCCAGTGTAGACTTTTTCAAAACAAAAAACGAAATGAATTTATTGAAACAAATTATCTATAAAAAAAAAAAAATTCTTCTAGTTATTAACGACATTATTTATGTATGTTTTGTGTCAATAGGTTAATTTCGTTTTTTGTATTGAATACGTCCACATTGGACGAAACGCGTCGGATACAACTACATAAATTTTTCCTATTGTATTTTTCCTTTACACAAACACACATAACGCTGGACGAAACGCAACACATAAATCTACACATAATTTTTCTATTGTCTTTTTCCTTTATACATATTGCTTTTTTCTACAGTTTAGTCCTGAGTCTTTTTACAATATATATCTGTGTATGTTTGTGTGTATTTGTGTGTATCTCTGTTTATAAGATGTATAATAATTACCAAAAGAAAAGTGAAGATGGACAAAGTTGAAATGCCATAAACGCGTCCTCTCTCTATGATTTATTCAGTTTAGAATGAAAGAAAGACACAACTTTATACTTTTCTCATGTGACTCTGCGTTTTATAAAATAAAACACCAAAAATGTATATATGGAAATATACGTCTTCAGTAGTTGCTACAAAGTTTTCTTTTTTCTCAAGCGGAGTACTTTGCAAGAGAATGATAGCGAGCGTTTTTTTTTTTTTTTCACGAGGAACAAATGTTCTCTGCAAGAATACCCCTAACTTGAGCGACTATTGAGGATTAAACTCACTCCAATGGAAACTCGTATATGATCACTCGCTTAAGATGCTGGAAAAATGGCCGTTTCCCTCTACCAACACAGTAAATACCTGACTCCTTCTGCTATCCTCGACAACAGCCAGATCAAGCAGGAAATGGAGTAGTGGTTACATATATGAGCAAGAGCCGAACAGTCTTCATTTTCCAGTGACAATATAGTCAGAAAGAGTTCTTGTGGGTGATGAATGATTTCCCATCCAGCAATCCATTTTCCACAGACGAAACGTTACAAATCTCGACACTCTATCGCTATTTACCAAATAAACTGTTTAGAGGAAATACATTCTTTAGTTCTTGCAGTTCTAATATTCACGGCTAAGACCTGCCATGCTATGCATATTATAGCCAACCAATCTTATTCCCTCTGCATTCAATTGGTGAGATGTAAGTAACACTCGAACAGCTCTTTTGCACGAA